GTAGTTAGTCTGAAAAGCCAGCTATGAATAAAAGTTTTTTTTAACGATTCTGCCAATACATGTGCACTTACAACCTTCATCTTCATTTTGTTGTACAAAGCTTTGATGTCTAAACACTTGCACGTAAATGTAAGATCTGAAGAATATAAGCATACCAAAGGTTTACTCGCAACACAAGACCTGTAAATCTCCCATGTCATTCTGTTATGCATTGGGATTTCCTTTGACCTGTGTTGAATTTTCAGCATTATAAACTCAGAAATGAGACCTTAGAAAACCATATTAAGTCACCTAATCCACCTCCCTTGTTTAGTACGTACAGTTGGGTTATTCCCCACAATTTATTCTTTAGGGGGTTTTTTTGTCCAGTCTGATATTGGATGACATAAGAAGTGGAGTTCCTCCTGCTTCTCTTGGGAGAATAATCCACAATCGAGTAGATTTAACCATTAGGAAGTATTTTCTTTGTTCAGTAGCAGCTGGCAGTGGTAAAGCATCTGAAATAAAAATTAATCTCCTATAATTTGCTATTAGCAATTCACATAAAAACATGGCAAATATAGAAATCCAGAGCCAACACTTTAGGTTGCTTCTTGGGGGATTAGTTTTTTATGGCCACAGGTGCATTCTCACATAGACAGACTGGTGAAATGCAGGGCATTTTCTTAATTTTTGCAGTGTTCTTAGCTTAAAACTTCTGAAGAAAGATGTTCACTTTAATTCTACTTATTTTAAAATACTAGTAGTTTGAAATGCATATGAATTTCTTTTTATGGAAGATGATGTCCTAAACTACAAAATAATCATGTCTAAATCATGTTGCTGCTCTGTATAAATGTACCAAAAACACTTTTCCAATAATGATACTGTAGTGCCAACTAATATGCTAGAGCTGACAGAAGGAGGGCATTTTCTGCTTTACCATAATTCTTTACTGAATGTTCAGGAACCTTATCATGTACGAAGCATTTAGGCAGGGCAGTTATTTCACTATATAATAGACTGTGGCTCTTACTGTTCAGATTTCTGTCATTTTCCCCCTAAAATATGCAGTTAAGCTGTTGCACAAGCTTTCTTTGCAGGTTTATTAGAGAAACACATTTTTACTATTGATTTACTTCTTGTTGATAGTGTTTTTCTATAGAAAGGTGGAGGCATAAAGAGAAATTACAGAACTGTCTCTCCATTTTGCATCAGTGCTCTTGAAAGCTGTCCTGCCGCATGTCCTGTCCCTGAATATAGTAGATGAGATAGTATAGAGGGTTAACAGAAAGCAACTGACTTTTTACTTCTGGAGCTGTAAGGCCTAAGTCTGTATTTTTTTCAAAGGTAAATTCCCTTAGGCAGGGCTGGAACTCTGTGACCTGATCCACTATTACCTTGCTCATTAGGTGGTCATGTACCCTTTATAGAAGTATGGTGTAAAATGCTACTCTTCTGATTTTGAAAGGTTTTGTGCCCTTTTTGCATTGGTGTGGTCTGAAAGACGGTTTTACAAGATGACTTTTTATGGGGAGCAGGGAGAGAGAACTTGGTATTTTGAAGGTCAGGCCTGGGATGTGCTAGCAAAGATGTGTGGGCAAACTTGCACATTGCTTGGCTCCAGCCACTGTTTTAAATCCTTCCTCTTCTTGAGCACTGAATTCACACAAGCATTACAAAGAAACCAAATGCCACGAATTACATTAAATTACCTGTAAAAGCCTTTCTCTTCCCCCGTGTGGTCTCCCCCTTTTATTGATAGAGTGGGTGGGCAGGCTGTGGGAGAAAGTATACAAAGAAAAGAAAAAAAAATTCAAGAAAATGACAGGCTAAAGAAGCAGAGGAGGTGGGAGAGGGAATAGAATGAATTGGTTGGGATGGGATGCAGAATGAATGAAAGTGAAGTGCTGTGACTTAAATATTTCTTCTGGACAAAGAGCAGGAGGGAAGAATGAGGATGCAAGCAGCAAACCCTCCCACTCATCAGCCACCTCATTCCTTGAAGGTTGTAGTGGGGTGGGGATGCCCTTTATTTTGTCATCTCCGATGAATCACATTACTACTGACTCAAAGTGGTGAGCTGTTGTTTTGCCATGTCAGTCGCCGCTACAAGTCGCAGGTATATCACACAAAAGGCACAGAGACAGACAGAAACATGTACAGAGTGGCTATTCATCATTACTGCCTCTGTCATATGTGCTTGAAGAGATTTCCATTCCAAATATAGTATTGATAGAGGGGAGAGAAAAGAAAAGAGAAATTAAAAAGTTCCTGCTCTGCTTTGGGCTGATAATACAAAGGAATTGTCAGCTGAATAGAGGTGTTAACATGGGGAAGAATGGGAGAGCCTGTTAAAAGTTAAGCAGAGTTAAAAAGCTTAGTAGGAGTGTCCTCAGGGGCCCAGAGGTGAATGGGAGACTGCAGAGGAGACTCAAAGAAAACATCTGTACTTGATGGTAGCTCTGAGGTAGGGAGAGAAGAGGAAAAGCAGATGCCCACTGCCATTATTGCCAGGCAGGTTGGCAAAGTCAGGGCCAGCGCTATGGCACTGGGATTTCTGTTTCTCTCTCTCTCCTAGTTTAGAAGAAGAGACCCATTATAACCTGCTGCTTGTGTAGGAAAGGCATCATTAGAGGGAAAGAAAATACACATATGGGACTGAGAACGTCTGTTATAAGAAACCTTGTTTTATATTTTTTTAATAAAACTTACAAAAATATGTTTTATAAATTAATCTGTTCTCTTATTGCAAGCCACCCTGAGCCTTTGTTTGAAAGGACAACATAAATCAAGTAAATAAAACCACTTTTGAACACCCCCTTTAAAAGTAGCCAAATAATAATGTGGGGAAACATACACGTTACGAGTTCAGACCCCTGGTAAGAGAAACTGGAAGAGGTGAAATTAGCTAGGAGTAGGTCTTGGACAAGCATCCCAGTGAATAGCTTACCTCTTTAGTCCCACCCCATTCTTTAATCATAGGGCTCTGAAAAAAAAATACTGTGACTGAGCACACAACAGGAAAGGGGGTCCAGAATCAAACTGCAGTTGAAGGACAACATGCCAGGGTAATGGGAAGCAACAGAAACTTACATATGTTAAGAACCAGCTTTTGAAAAATGGCCTTCATTTTTACACTGGCATACAATTGGAGAGCTATTACATAGGACACAGTAACCTGATTCATGTAATCATGTCCAAGTGATACATTGTACATTCAAAGTTTTTATCTTAATACCCATTACACATGTGCATGCATGTATGTGGACACAATTCAGATCTTATTTTAAAGTGGCCAGCTTTTTGTAGAGCATTTCTAAATTTTGTTTCCAAGAGTGTGGGTTTGTGGGGAATTGTCATTGTTCCAAAGTGGTACAGATTGTGTTTTAATGCTAAGAATATATTGGGGGAGTAATGCTTTACCAAACAATTGGGGGTCTCATGCTTTTCTCAGAGGAGAAAGAGAGGCTTCACTGAAGTGTTTGGAGTTTCTTTGTGTAGAGGGGAAGCAGATCTCCTGGATTACTACAGTATTTGGGTATTTATCCTGCTTCTTGTGTAATGGTTTCTGGTCCTTGCTGAGCTCCATGCTGCTGTGACTAGACTGCTACCAGTACCCTAGTTTACTAATCTAAAGCTAGGTCAAGTATGCAGCATGGATGTGATATAAGATGTAATTGTAGTGTAGGCCACCATGTAGATTGTGCCTTTTTGTTAAGCAGCAGCACATTGTTCTGTAATCAACAGCAAAGGCTACCTTTTCTCCTTTCTGGATTATAAGGTCTCTGGGCAGCCAGTCTATGATTGCATATACATGCATGCATGTGCCTGAATAGAAGCAGCAAAAGATTAAGTTAATCCTCCTACCTAAATTTACCAGGGTGCATGTTACTTACGATGCATTTTACTAGAGTTATGTTTGTTTGCTTTTTAGATGCTACTTCTCCAGTCTCCTCTCATGTGTTTTAAATGCTCCTCCTACTGCCCTTCTTAGGGAATAATGATACTACCCTATTCCTTCAAATACCCTCAAATTTAAGATGTATTTTCATGTTTTAATACTCAGTTTAAGGAAAAAATGCTTTTCAGTAAAGATGCAGTTATATAAACTTTTATGTGCATGGGCAAGCTACTGTATTTATAAACATAACCACAATAATACTTAACTTCCTGGCAGTGAAATTCTGTATATACAGCAGCACAAAGTCTCCTAGTAATCCTCTAAGAGGGAGGAGAGTCCTGTTTAATATCTCTCAGACAGTGTTATCTTCTGTTCAGTCAAGGTGGTTATGTTACCTTTTGATTGGACTTGTTAGGAGTGAGATTAATTGATCAATAAATCCATTCCAGTTGCAGCTCAAAAGCTTTATTAGGATATACAATAGCAAAGACTTATTGGCACTAATAAAGACAATGCTTACGCAGCCTTGGATTCAGGAAGAACAGGTCTGCTGGCCAGGCGTCATGGCTTTCCCAGGGACTCTTGCTGAGTTGTTTTTTTTTCCTTCTGAGCTTTGGGAAAGGTCCAATTTGTTGCTTGCCCCAAGCCCAGTATTTATAGATGGTTGATTTGACATTCTAATAATTGATCTTTGATTGGTTTTATTTAAGTTTCTTTGTTTCACTGGAATTTTTGGAACTGGATGGAATCAGGTTCTAGTAGCCCTCGAAAATGGGTCAAGGGATCAACTTAGCTAAGGCTATTTATTTTTAGGTCTCTGACCCTAGTCTGTTAATCATCTGATAATCTTTACTTTAATGAAGATCTTGTTAATCAATTGAAATTTATATTTTTGAGAGAGCAGATTTCTTACCTTCTTTATGGCTTGCCTTTTGGTCCTTGTTCAGTTATTTACCAACTGTGGCCTAACAAGGCTGCTTTGCTCTTTCTATCCTCAAGGCTGCCTTTCTGTTTATAATCATTTGAACATGTTAGTAAAAATACATTTATTATAGCAAAGTAACTATTAATGCGTTTGGTCACTTTAGTTATTAATATTTTTGGATACAATTGTAATACAGAGTATTTAGGATACAGGCACTTGGCTTGCTGTTTGGTCATATTTCTGTAGTTTTGACTTGGGTTCGCTGAAAATGGCCAAGCTTATATCCACAGTTTCCCTGCAATTTGGTTATGCTTTGGATAGCATATGTTTGATGCTATTTGTCACCCATAGCTCATGCTTCATAGGCGTATGCCTGGCTACAGTTAGAAATGCAGTGCTTTTTTCTTTTTCTTTTTTTGTAAGGTGTGTGTTAGTCTGTAGAATCCTATGCTGTCTGCTCACACAAGAGAAGGATATATAGAGTCTTTGGCCAGTTAGCATTTAGCTGTTTTGTACTATTTGCAAGCCATTGGTGATTAATTAAAAAAAAAAAAAAGTTGATCTTTAAATGGCTTGTTCACCTAGACATCCAATGGCTGAAGCTGTGATATCGTCCTATCTGGACTAATACCCAGGTCTTCTTTGGGGTCATGCCGTGTTGTTTTTGTTTTTTAACTGGATTAGTTGTGTGTCATAAGCATCCCAGTTCCCTGCAGGGTTTTGCACTTAAAAACTATGTACGTGCTGTTCCACAGAGTATTATGTTATCTGCTGCTTCTCATTTCCTGTTGTGATCATTCAAATCTGCTTTTCTCTTACTTCCTGGCATGTCAAAAAAAATATAGGGATCTGGTCGGCATTTGCTGTCTGCCCAATCTGCTACTGTTTATTTGAACGGAGTGCAACAGTAGAGTGCTGATATTGTAAAAAGTTTGGCTGCATCATGAGAAGCCTTGCCACTCCATAAACCTCTCCACCTAACTCACCAAACCAAAGTACGAAGTTGCTTGTGTATTTGGAATTGCCAAGTGCATGCACCACCTCATAGGCTTTGGCATAAATCACACCTCGACTGGCAGGGGGGGGCAGCTTTTCCTAGTTTAGTTAAAAAGTAACTGATATTTATCTCAGTTTCTAAGGATCTTCCACATTTGATCTCTTGGGGGGGGGGGGGGTTGCATTGAGAAAATTTTGATTTTAATAGCCCTAATTTCCTGGCACAAGCTTCATTAACACCATACCTGCTTCTTCCTGCTCTGTTTCCACTTGTTTCCGCAAACTCTGCAACTTCTAGTTTAAAAGAAGTTGTATATTGCTAATGATAATCCACGACTCACACTTGTTCTAAAATGGCTGATTGTATGTTTTGGATGATTTTAGATCAGGCAGTCATCTTCATTTTGTCTGCTTTGTGGCAGTCATGTCATTTGTTGGTTTACTGTAACAAGTGTAGAATACTTATTTTATGACACCCGTTTAATTTTTCCTGTTTTATTTACTTGTTTTTTTTACTTTAAGACAAGCTATTTTTAGAGCAGATATCTGTTTAAAAGGTTCAGCTTTCCTATTTGAAGGAATAGGGCATTTTTCTGCTTTACGTGAGGATTGTTTGTACACTGTTAAGCAGCAGG